ACAACAACAACAATCATGACTCAGATGGTAAGCTGCTCTCAGTAAATAGCCAGCCTCCCTTGTCTTCCAGCTAGGAGGAGTTAGTGTCTGTGGACTCCTTCCCTCTCCAGCTTCTCCACTGCTGCACTTCCTTGCTCAGCCATGGAGGTGCAGCACGGCCTCAGGTATAGCCCAAGGCACCACTGCCTACCTTGCAACTACTGCAGCCTGGAGCACTCATGGATGATTAGGAGCCCTGGTGATGCAGTGGTTAAAGCACTTGGCTGCTAACTGAATGGTTGGCGGTTTGAGAAAGATGTGACAGTCTGCTTCTGTTAAGATTACAACCCTAGAAACCCTATGGGACAGTTCTACTCTGTCCTATAGGGTTGTTATGAGTTGGAATTGACTTGACCAGCAACAGGGTTTTTGCCCTGGATTCCTTTTCTGTCCACTGAGCAGCTAAACTGCACGTGGGGTGCTGAGTATGCCCTATGATGAAAGGTGTGATGATAAAAGGTGGCTTGTGCTAGACTCAACCCAGGGCAGTAGCTCATGGCTCCAAGAGTGGTCATAGATACTGGCCATGAATCTTGCATGGTTGAGGCTCTCTCCAGCTTGAGGGCCTGATGAGGTGGAGCCCAAACCTGGCCTGGGGGTCATCTCCCATTCTCTCTCTTCTTCATCTACACATCCAATCACTTTGCTTCTGTTTCCATGTCTCCTACAACCCTTCCTCTCTCATCCTTAACTCATTTCAATCCTAGCAGCATATCACTGGAGTCTCAGAATTACTGGCTAGAGGATCTCCCTCTCTGGACTCCTCACATCTACCATGGCACAGCAGTAAGAGGCCTTCCCTAGCTCCCTCCTGAATGCTGAATAACTACTAATGCCAGGCCTGGCTCTACAGGATTCCCACACAGATTCAAGTCTCTTGGTCTTATGGCTTAGACTCTTTTTTTTTTCTTTTTGCCTCAAATAACCTTGATTGATAGGCTCTGCCACAAAAACCCTTCCTCCAAAGGCTGCTCCAATCTTGCTTCTGTACACACCCTTCTCCTCTCCCACCTTCTTTCTTTTGCTCCCCCATGCCCCATTTTTTTTTCTTTCTGATTTCCACATTAAAGTAGTTAAGACAGAGTGAGAATTTTTCCCAAGGTATGATTTTATTAGATGGGTATGGCTTTCTCCCTAACTCATTTTTCACTACAGCTGAAAACAATACCCTTTTGAGTTTATCTCCTCACATCCCAGCTTTAGTTTAAGAACAATTCAATACAAAATATCTTATCACTGGAAGGTTATTAGGGAAAGTAAACAGAGGCCAGGCTCAGAAAAGCCCTCTAGGCAATCGTGGGTAGGCTCTCACCATGATCCTCTAATCTTCTGAGAAAGTGTAACTCCAGAGGAAATGGATCTCACATCTCTCAAAAGATATAAATATATGTAAACTCCTTCCTTATTCCACCCACCCTTCACAGAAATACTGTTTCTGCACCAATTAAGACTGTTTAAGGTCAAAGAAGGAGCACTAGTGTCGTAGTGCCTAAGGCTAACCAGAAGGCTGGTGGCTCAAACCCACCAGCCACTCCTCAGAATGAAGATTGGACAATCTATTTCCATAGTGATACCACCTTGGAAACCCAAGGAGGGGCTGCTATGAGTCAGATCCAACTCCTTGGCAGTGACTTTGGTTTGGTGTAAGGTAAAAGAATCACTGTCTTCATAGGAGACAGGCAGGGACCATTCCCTTGTTAGAATGATCTTGCAAATTAAGCTAGATTATCCTAGTACCTAAAGCATTTGACTGTTAACCAGAAGGCTGGTGGTTCAAACCCATCAACCACTCCTCAGAAGGAAGGTGGGGCAATCTACCTTCCGTAGTGATACCACCTGGGAAACCCAAGGAGGGGTCACTATGAGTTGGATCTGACTCAACGGCAGAGAGTATTTCTTTTATTTTTTGGTTTGCATAAGGGCATGGAACCTAGAGTAGCTCTGGAAAATGCCATCCAACCTGAAACCTCTCCTCTTTCCATCCCTCACCCTTTGGCTGTGGGCTCCAGAGGTGAACTAGTTCTAAACAGAAGCATGGACTGGTCCACATGTGTCTTTGCTTGCTGGGTAAAGGCAAGTGTCAAGAGACTGGGAAGTCAGGCTAATGAGTTCAAATCTGAGCTCTACCTTTAACCAGGTGTGTGACCTAAGGCAAGTTACTCAACTCTCTGAACACTGGTTTCCTAGTCTGTAAAGAGAGGATCCTAATAGGGACCTTGCAGAGTTATAGTGATGATTAAAGAGATGTGTGGACATATTAGCACCATACACAGTTACCAACTAAGTCTTTCCTGACACATCCCAATCGCCAATGAGTCAACTCCAACTCATGGTGACCCCATGTGTGTTAGAGAAGATCTCCACAGGGTTTTCAATGGCTGATTGTTGGAAAGTAAGTTGCCATGTCTTTCTTCTGAGGTCCCTCTGGGTATACTCAAATTGCCAACATTTCAGTTAGCAGCCAAGTGTGTTAAATGTTTGCACCATCCACCAAACCCAAACCAAATCTATTGCCATCGAGTTCATTCCAACTCATAGTGATCCTGGAGGACAGAGTAGAACTGCTCTATAGGGTTTCCAAAGCTGTAAATCTTTTTTTTTTTTAATTTTATTTTGATTTGGGTGAAGATTTACAGAGTAAATTCACTTTT